TTAATGGCTGTTCTTCCCACCCTCCTTTCCTATTCTCCTTGACCTATATGTCCACTAAAAGAACTAAATGAAGGCCTTTCCACTGACAGACACAGAGCTAATACACTAATACATAGGCCCTGGCTTAACTTCAGTATAAGACGAGGATTTAAAAAAAAAAGTACCCTCCTGCTCCTTTCTCTATAGAAAGCAGGTCTTGACCTCACATGGAGAAAAAATAAGGAAACAATTCATTTGTGGGGCCCACTATTCTACTCTTAAGAAAAAAATCAAATGTCAAAAAATTAATTTTGTGACAACGTTCCAAAACAGTAAGTCGCTTAGAAAATGCAAAAGCCTAAGAAGATGATATTGCTCCAGTTAGTAAAGTGAAGGCCTACTGTGTGCCTGGAAGTACTAACCTCACAGCACTCATACACTGTGCAAGGCACAGAATAAATAAACATGGAACATGATATCGTATTTCTTAAATACCAGAAACAGAAGTATAGCAGAAGAGATCAGAGAGTAGCAAGTACTGGGGGTTTTGTCCTCATCACTTTAATGGGGGATGCTGGAGACTGAACCCAGGGATGCTCTACCACTGAGTGCTTTATTCTTCAAAAGAAAAGACTCACTAAGTTGCTAAGACTGGCTTCAAACTTGAGATCCTCCTGCTTCAGCCACCAAAGTCACTGGAATTACAGGTATGTACCACCATGCCTAGCTTAGTGCTGCTTTTTAGACAAGTTGGTAAGGAAAGATCTCCCTGGAAACACAACACCAGAGCAGAAAACTGACTATAAGAAATAAGATGTGGGGTGGGGGGTATTCCAAGAAAACAAAATACACAAATGCCTTGGAAAGAAGCATGCCAAACTCCAGGAAGGAAAAGAAGGTCACAAGGCTAAAGCCCAGGGAGCAAAGGAAACAGAAGATGGTGTGGGAAAGGTAGCCCAGGTCAGGGCAGAAGAGCTTGAAGTTCATGGTGCAGACTTTAGATTGTGTTCTAATTACTCCTGGAGGCTTTGGATGGTAGGCAGATGAAGTAAAAGGCTCTTATGGAAAACAGACAAGAATGGAGTGAGAGGAAAAGTAGCAAGGCCAACGAAGACACTATGTGGAGTCCACTGCAGCAGTCCAGAGGAGCAAGGGTGGTGGTGACCAGCTGTACAATGACAGGCAGAGGAGGAGAAGGAAGTATCTGAGCTCAAGAAACACTAAGAAGGCGAAGACCAAAAAAGTCCCAGGAAGACAAATCAAGGAAGACTCCAGCCAAAGTCTTGGTGAGACCCTGTCACTAATTAATTAATTAATTAAAAAATAAAAATAGGGCTGAGGATATAGCTCAGTTGGTAGAGTGCTTGCCTCGCATGCACAAGGCCCTGGGTTCAAACCCCAGCACCACAAAAAAATAAAAATAGCCAGTCAGGGTGGCACATACCTGTAATTCCTGTGGTTCCAGGAGGCTGAGGTAGGAGGATTCCAAGTTCAAAGCCACCCCCAGCATAACTTAGCGAGACCTTGACTCAAAATTTTTAAAAAGGGCTGAGGATGTGGCTAAGTGCTCTTGGGTTCAGTCCTTCATACCCACACTCCTAAAAACAGACTCCAGAGCTGGGGTTGTAGCTTAATAGTAAAGCACTTGCTTAGTATTTGTGAGGCATTGGGTTTGATCCTCAGCACCACATAAAAATAAAGAAATAAAGGTATGTGTCCATCTACAACTAAAAAATATATATTTAAAAAAAGAACTCCATGTTTCAGTCTGAACCATATATGGTAGCATGGCTCACGTAGAAACACGGGAAGAGGTTTCAGAGTTAACAATAAGCAGCTAAGCAACTCAAGTGAGACCCTGTCTCTAAATAAAATAGAAAACAGGGATGGGGGTGTGACTTAGTGGTTGAGTGCCCCCGAGTTCCATCCTCAATACATCCCCCAAAAAGAAGCTCTATAAAGGTCACACATTCAGTTTAGATCGTCTTCAAACATCTAAGAAGAGGTGCTAACAAACAAGCTGAAGATAACAGTTCATGTTAAAAGCAAGAAAAAAAAAACTGGTAGTGGTCTCCACTAATGTCAACTTTTATGTTTTTATTATCAGTTAAAAATAATTTCTTAAAAGTCACTACTGTGATTTTTAGAGTCATCAGCACATAGGTAATATTTAAAGCCATGAAACTGAGAAAGACCACTTGATGCACAAAATGAGAAGAACAGAATGAAGAGAAATCACTGAGTTTAAAAAAAAAAAAAGAGAGAGAGAGATCTACAGTCCTGTAAGCCAAGTATAAGTTTCACTCCCAAGAGTGGTTAGCTGTGTGAGAAGACAATGAATGGTTAAGGATGAAGACTAAAAGCTGGTTTGGGCAATATGAGATTACTGGTGACTTGACAAGAACATTTTTGCAGAAAAAAAGGAAGAAAGCCTCATCTGAGTAGGTTCATGAGAAAATAGTCAAAAATAAGTAGCAGCTGGGCATGGTGGTGCACGTCTATAATCCCAGTGGCTCAAGAAGCTGGGGCAGGAGGATTACAAATTCAAAGCCAGCCTCAGCAAAAGCAAGGTGCTAAGCAACTCACAGTAAAACCCTATCTCTAAATAAAGTACAAAATAGGGTTAGGGATGTGGCTCAGTGGTCAAGTGTCACTGAGTTCAATCCCTGGTCTCCCTTCCAGCCCCCCCCAAAAAAGTAGTAACCACCCCCCAAAAAAAGTAGTAACCAGCCGGGTGCAATGATACATACCTGTAATTACAACAACTCAGGAGGCTGAGGCAGAAGGGTCACAAGTTCAAGGCCAGCCTAGGCAACTTAGTGAAACCCTGCCTCAAAACAAAAACTAAAAAGGGCTGGGGATACAGCTCGGTAGTAAAGTATCCCTGGGTTCAATCCCCAATAACCCCCAAAAAACAGTAGCCACCATATGACAACTTTTTCAAGGGTTTCATAAAGACATCTGCCAAGGACTTCTGCTATAAAGATGAGTAAAGAACCTCATGTACAGTAGCTAAGAGGGGATGAGTGATCCATAGAGATCGATGTGTTTGAGAGGGATGATTCTGCAACACATTCTGCAGCTAAGAAATGATTTTTTTGAGTTGTAAAAACCCCTGACATAGGAAAGCAAAGAAAACTGCAGACCCAAAATCCACAAAAGGTGAAAGGAGATAGAATTCAGGACTCAAGTAAAGGACTTAGCCTCAAACAACCACAGAGACTTTTCATTGCATTTTACCAGATGGACAAAAAAAATTCAAGTAGGAAAGCAGATTTGATGGGTGAGTGTAAAAAAAAAAAAAAAATTCCACTAAAATAAGTAAGATCATCAGCTAAAGATTGAAAACTGGGAGGAAGTATTAGAAATCTGAAAAGAGATGGTGGTGAAATAATAATTTTCAATAAATGGGAGAGGAAATTTTTAAGTATACAGAATAAAAGGAAGGCACAAGTCATCACTAATTTGATTTGAGGTCACAAATTTAAAATGAAATCAGTTGGCAAGATTATGCCTTTCTCTACAGCTATGTTCAGCTACTAGAATGCACAATCTGGGCTGCTAGAAGAGAATGACCACAATGATGAGTCACAGAATCCGGCCAGAAAGGAGAGCAACAAGCCCACTGGTAAGACCAATGAGGCATTAGGAGAAAAGCGACCTGGAAAAAGCAGCAGCCAGGGAGTAGGACAGCAGAGCTGATTTTGGAAATGAAATAGCAATTGTCTCAGTGGCTGGTACAATAAGAAAGCTAATATATGACCATAAGAATGAGCAGCTGAAGGGGAATGAAGAACAGGGTTTCTGAGGAAATCAGGAAGCTGAAAGGATGGGGTATTGAACAGATTATCAAAAATGACAACCAGAGAAGCACAGAAGAGTAAAACAGAAAGGCAGGTGCTAACCTTCTGCTAGTGAGTGAGAGAGCCCAGCAAGAATGTGGATAAGCGCAACACACCCTGGTAGCACTGTTTTAATTTGCCAGTAATCATAATGAAAATATTATTTAAAGCTTCGAAAGGACTCTTCATTACTAACAGTGAACTACAGAAAAAATTATATGAAAAAAGAACTAATGCTATTTACATAAATTCAAGTTTGCAGTAGTGTGATAATGAGCAAAAAGGGTAAATTTAAAACTCGGAACTTTCAAGCTTTATTTTGTCATTCTACCTACCTAGGCCCTAGTCAGAAGAGGGATGAAAACTGCATATACTATTTGAAAGATTTAAAAAAAAAAAACTATATAATAACACATTTGACAACCACAAGGCATTTTCTAGAAAATTATATTTTAAAATATAATGCAATTTTAAACTCTTCTATAAAAACAAAAGACATTCAAGAAGCATCAGGATGATATTCAGCTTCAGAGATGAAGCCTAATACTACATCCAAATTCTATCCAACAACTATAGAAAACAAGGCCAACGACGGACTACCTACCACAGATATCCTCTACATACAATATGAAGCCTAGTCCCTTTGAGCACGTACCACCAATCTCCTGTAAATTCTGGAAACCACTCTGGGCAACCTACTCTACCCACATTTTGCAGGTGCACAATACATGTTAGCTAACTTAGGACACCTAAAGGTTCTGCAGGCCAGAAACCATGTGTTCAACTTGGTATTTCATACTACCATTCACTAGTGAAACACTTTCTCTCTATATATATTTTAACAAAACAAGCTCTAAACAAATATTTAATGGTTCACAAACAAGAAATATCCTGTGAGCTAGCATAATAATGGCCTGAGTTACTGCTTCTTGCAGTTTTAATTTTACTTTGATAAAACAGTTATCAATAAATATAAAATAATTCCTACTAAATCAGGTCTCAAGGAAAAGGTGTGAGGGAGTAGACTGGGTTTTCCACATGGTGACTAGCTAGCAAACTAACTGGGACAAATGGAACTGAAGTGCAGTGCATCAACCACGGCTAACACAATACGTTTCCACACATATGCCAGGTGCACACGTGCATACTATCATGTACATTCTTATTAAACTGTGATACCTGTTTCCACGATATTTTCTGCTTCTGTTGTCTCCAGCCCGTCCATGCTATCTTCATCATCCACCGTAGTTTTTCCTCTACTTCGAGGCCTAGAAAGAAATAAAGACATACAGTAAAAAATAATGAATTTTAAAGATTATATGTTATACTCCATATAAACCACAATTTAAAGATCTATAAAATAATTTGGACATTTCTCCAGCATTTTACCATGTTAAACAGTAAATACCAGACTTTGCGGTCACTTTGTCCCCTAAACTCAGCCCTTCCTTATGGCTGGATGTGAGGACATACCCAGGTAAGTGTGCTATGTTATTAAAACTGGCCGAGGTATCCCTATTCTGGCCTTTCCTCTTTCCAGATAACCTTCTGGAGACTCCCTTTGTCTACAGGAGTAGCTTCAACAACTTAATAGGTTCTGGACAGAGTAGATACATCAGGCTGTAGCTACACGTTTAATCAAGTGAATGAGGAACACCCAGACATTTGTATTTGTTTGAAGCTGACATAAAAGACCATGATGCACAATGACTAAAGAAAATAAAATTCCAAAAATTGAGTATGATGTAATTGCATTACCTTTTTAAGTGTTATGAAATTTAACTTAAAAACACTTTAGGGAAATAAAATAAAGGTAACAACAGTGGTAAGGTAGATTCTGTAACCCAATGTAATATTAAAAAAAAATTTAAACAACTAATATTTTTAAGTTATTTTGGAGTATTTTAAGGGATAGAAATGAGGGAAAAAAGAGAAATTTAAAGAATAAGATATTTCAAATAAGAAATTTAGAAAACTGACAAAACAACATTCAGATAATTTCACAGCTTTTACATTATTTTACTACTTAAAGAGAAAAAAAAGTGGGCTGGGTTTTAGCTCAGTTTAGAGCACTTGCCTATTACATGTGAGGCACTGGGTTCGATCTTCAGCACCACATATAAACAAATAAATAAAAGTGTGTCCATCTACAACTGGAAAAAAATTTTAAACAAGAGAAAAAATACAAATGAGCTCAGAATTTGAAAATAATGGAAAATGATACGAATAAAAGATAAATTATATTAAAAACTAAATCAAAGAGTTATGTTTAAGTAGGAAATCCACTTAAATCTTATTTTAAAAAGGAAGGTAACCAATCTAATCATAAAGGAGATATGTTAAAAGTTAAAGTGTTGGAAGTCAAATAGTTTTAGTTGAAATATTGCAAGTTGCCAAAAAGTCATCTCCAAAAGGTGTGGGGCTGGGGGGTGCAAAAAATAATTATCTGAATCAAATTACTGTCCAAAACTAAAGATTAAATTTTTTTCAGGAAATAATGCCAAGAGTTAATAAATGGAAGGGCATCAAATTAAAAAGTTTCTATGCAGCAAAGGAAAAAATTAAGAATGTGAAGAGAGCCAGATGCAGTGGCACACACCAGTAATCCCAGCAACTCCAGAGGCTGAGATAGGAGGACTGCAAATTTAAAGCCAGCCTCAGCAACTTAATCAGGCCCTAAGTGACTTAGCAAGATTGTGTCTCAAAATAAAACATAAAAAAGAGCTGGGGATATAGCTCAGTGGTAAAATGTCCCAGTACAGGGGGGGGGGGTAATATGAATATAAACAAAGAATCTACTGAATGGGAGAGTAACTTTGCTAGATACTCTTCTGACAGAAGATCAATATCCACAGCATATGAGGAACTTAAAAAACTGAATACACACACACATACACACACAAAATACCAACCCAAGCTGCTCAGGTGGCACATGCCTATAATTCCAGCAATTCAGGAGTCTGAAGCAGGTATATTCCAGTTAGAGACCAACCTCAGCAACTTAGTGATGCCCTATGCGCTTAGTGAGACTCAGTCTCAAAATAAAACATAAAAGCTGGGCACAGTGGTGCACAACTGTAATCCCAGCAACTTAGGAGGCTGAGGCATAAGGACCTCATGTTCAAAGCCAGCCTATGCAATTTAGCAAGACCACACGCAATTTAGCAAGACCCTGTCTCTAAATAAAATATTTATTTAGTGTTAAGCGCCCCTAAGTTCAATCACTGGTACCATTAATTAATTTATATTTTAAAAATGGCTGGGTATGTGGCTCAGTAGTCAAGTGCCCCTGGGTTCAATTCCTGGTAGTGTGGCGGTGGTGGAAATAACAACCACCTAATAAATAAATGGACAAATAAACCAAACAGATAATTCTCAAAAGCAGCAGCCAACAAATATATGAAAGACTACTCAACATCCTTAGCAACTAGGGAAATGCAAATCAAGACAATATAAGATTTCATCTCACTTCAGTCTGAATGGCAGCCCTCAAAAATACAAGCAATAATAAATGCTAGAGAGGATACGGAGAAAAAGGATCACTGGTACCACCACTATGGAAAATAAGTATGGAGATTCCACAAAATACTCGGCAAAGAACCAACCATATATGACCTAGCTATGCCACTCCTTGGTATTTATCTTAAAGAGTTAAAGTCATATTACTACAGTGATACATGCACATCCATGTTTACAGCAGCACAACTCACAACAGAAAAACTATGGAACCAGCCTGGCTATCTATCAGTTGATGAGTGGGTAAGGAAAATGTGGTATATATGTGCAATGGAGTTTCATTCAGCCATAAAGAAACATGAAATCACATTATTTGAAACAATAAAAATAGTATCATTTCAAACTTGCTGTGAGGTGGAGGGAAAGGAAACAGAATCAAATTAAGAAACTACAAAACTTGGAAGATAGGAAAGCATGATCGGGGCCAATGCATTCTAAGAATGATTTTATTATTTGTGGCAACAAAGAGAAAATAATTATTATTAAGTAGTTCTGTTTAGATTTAAACAAAAAGTTTAATAAAACAAAGAAAAAAGAACAAGGGAAATTTTTAAATCAATTCCTATTGCAAGCAGAAGGAAAAAATATACAGTTAATAGAAAATAACTTGAAAGGATAAATATAAATATGAATTTTCATAGTAAACATCAATGGCTTTATTTAATGATAAAAAGGTGAATTCACCCAGATAACGTAACTTAAAGAACTTCACATTATTATATAAAGCAAATATTCACACAAAAATGAAGAGATGATAACTGAAAATTAAGGGAAATTTAACATTCCATACTCACAAACTGATAGATAAAACCAGTTTGAGCCTTTTAAACAAATATCTAGACAACTCATATGACAAGCATCATGAGCTCCTGTACCACTCCTGTGTCAACTGCCCAAAGGGCAGGAGAAGTAGATAGGGCAAGTCACTGTCCCCACAATTGTCCTCCAGTGATGACACATGGTCACAAAGAAAGGACATACAACATCAAGAAAATGAAGCACCGGACTGGGATTGTGGCTCAGTGGCAGAGCACTTGCCTTGCACATATGAGAGGCAATGGGTTCAATCCTCAGCACAACATAAAAATAAATAAACAGAATAAAGGTATTGTGACCATCTACAACTTTAAAAAAAAGAAAGAAAGAAAGAAAGAAAAGCACCAAAAGCTGGCGACTGGGCACCAGGTTGATAAAATTCTGTATGAACAAGAATTTTATCTAATGTAGGCAGATGTGAGGTAGAAGGTATCTCTCCAATCACTAGGACATTTGGGCGGAAAGCACTGCCATAGAGGGAATAGCACCAGTACAACTTATGAGGTTCTTCTAAGGAAAGAGGGCTGAGATGGCATGGGCATGGAAGCTGACAGGTGGAAGAAGGTGTGAGAGGAGCAAGGATGTCTTGGCTGAGGAACCCACAGACCAATATGAAGACTTGGAACAGAGAGGCTGGAAACCCCTGAGACAATCCAAGTGGGACAGAAAGCAAGCAACTGCAGGGACTCCATGGAGGGAAACTGCACCTTTGGTTGGTCCTTCACCAACCAAATTACAGGTGATTACAGGTGACCTTTCTAAAGAACTGAAAGGTGTATGGCTGAGCAGGCTCTTCACAGAGCCCTGCAGTCGGTCACCCTGACCTGTTTTGAGCTTATCACTCCATTATCACACCAGATGACTATTTTTTGACACAACTGGCTTATTTTAGACTAGTATTATCTAGTTTATAACCTTGATCAACACACCAGTTGTCTGAACTGCACTATTTAGTCCTCAGGAAGAATTCTTATTTTAATTTTTGTTTTTGTTTTTTCTCTTGTGTTGCCAGCTCCCGGTTTTGTCTTCATACTCATCAATCTATCAGAATTCTTTTCTTTCTGGCCAGTGGACCAATTTATCAACATGTCCTTTTCAAATCTCTAGTACTTCATTCATGTGTTCCTGACTGCTGCCCCTGGCTTCTGATTATGTGACTATTCTGAGTGATCAAACACTAACTTCTGGATTCAAAAGACAATGGTCATGCTTGTCAAACCCATACCAACTGCCAATTTCCAGGATTAAATAGAAAAATACATAGTTATTTCTATATTGATTCAAATGTTTCCAGTTTTTGTTTTTAATGAAAGTAGAGTCTAATTATGACATGAAAATTATTTATTTTAACCCTTTGGATTCTTCCTATTTTTCCTTTCTATCTCTTAACCATTTCATTTTAGTCTTCTTTGCTTCACTTTATTACAAGAAAATCTGAAGTAACAGAATAGCACCAACTTTAGTTGAGAAATTTTTCTACCAAAATGCAATGTATCACAGTAATCTTAGAAGCTGACACTCTACAACTGAGTTCCTAAAATAACATAAAAGACATCTACTTAAAGTAACATAGGAGTTCAAAGAGGGGTCAAAAAAAAAAAATCACCCTTCACACCGGGTGTAATCCAAGCAGCTCAGGAGGCTGAGGCAGGAGGATCACCAGTTCAAAGCCAGCCTCAGCAAAAGTGAGGCATTAAGCAACTCAGTGAAACCCTGTCTCTAAATAAAATACAAAATAGGGATGGGGATGTGGCTCAGTGGTTAACTCCCTGGGTTCAACCCTCAGTATCAAAAAACAAAAAATCACCCTCCAGTTACAAAACCAGACAAAACATGAGAAATGACTGTTATTAGACACTGGCCAATGAGAGGTATAAAACTGAATCCTTGAACAAGAGGAAACACACAAGGGAAACCCTACCTTTGCATGCACCTT